GGCCATGGAAAACATTTGGGACCCTTGGATCTCACACATCTTGATGTAAAGTGAAACCCTAGTTAGAGGTTTATTGCCTTAGGAGGAGAATTTGTTTGGTCAATTCTTAGTCATCCTAGGGCAAGTTGGGGATCTGAATGGACATGTCTTGAGTAAAATGAGAGGGTAAATTTTGGGGTACAATAGTGATGGAGGTGTTTCATAAGTGTAACCCGTATTGGAATTGCTTATATTTGAGGTAAGGAAGCTTTTGAGATGGTTTGGCCAAGAAACGCACGAGTGGATTTGAAGATGGAAGTTTTTTAGCCAGATTCGGCACAACAATGGCAGTTTATATGTAGTCTGAGTTTGTGAGAGTTTTGGGATTCTTGAGGACTTGTGCATTCGTGTCATGGCTTACAAATAGTGCTTTTATTTATAGGAAAGAGGTTTTGGATGTTCAAACAATCATATTCAAAGAATCACATGTTATGGCTAGGTTACTTGATTTTGAAGCAAAGTTGACAAACATCTTTCCAAGACATGGTACAAGGCTATCTAGAGTGGTTATAAGCTTTATACGTGTTGCTTATAGCTTGTAGATGGAGTGTGTGCAGAAGGAACAAGTGCAAAGCTCAAGGAGAGTGGACTTTGTGATTAAAGTCACTTTACAAGAATAACAATGTTACTTTGTGCCAAAAATAGATGAATCTCCTGGAAAATGGTTCAAATGCTTGGATCAAATCTCTGACAGTTGTATAAACATTAAATTATGGAGTGATTAGCAAGTTAGAAGTCTGCAAAGCAAGATTGGTGCAGCGTGGTTTGAGATTTGATCAATTGTTCATCACAAATTTGACTTGTAATTTAAGTTTGAAACCCTAACTTCATATCTTTGATTCTCCCTGCTCAAGAATGATCTCATTAAGTTCTATGACATTTTGGAAAGCTTGTAACATCCTCTACAACCTTCTATTTTTTCACTTTTAAAGAATCCAATTGGAACTATGTGAAAAATTTCCATGAAGTTGGTGCCAAAAATCTGCCTAACTAGGTCAAATTTTCTCTAATTGTTTTTATACAAAGTGCGTGACTTTGTGAATTCATAACTCAAAATTTAATCACTTATATAACTTTATTAGTAAAGAAAAGTTATAGATCTCATCAATATCTACAACTTTCATGTTGAAAATTTTCTTTGAATCATCTTGCATCTTGGTGAAAAGTTGGCTTGAAGTCATGAAAAAGTAAGACTTAAAACACTTAGAAAATTTTCTAAGTCTTGAAAACTTTGACTTTTCAAAATGAATTTTGACTTTCTTGATTTATTGATGATCAAGTTTCATGTTTTTGAATTTCTTGATGAAATATGATCTTTGAAACTCAATTTTGATCAAAAAGTCAAAGTTTGACTTTTGGTGTATCAGTTGACTGAATTTCAACTATCAATCAAATGATCTTGAGAAATGTATTAAGCCATGAAATTATGTCAATATGTTTTATTTGAATCCTTGAGACTGTGCTTTAAACCATTGGATCATGTATTAGGTCAAAAACCCTTGATCAGTCAAATACAGTCAACACCCTAGTTTTGACCATTTTCCCCTTTTGGCGATTTGAACAATTTTCTTGGGGAATTGTGATCCAAAATTGATCAATTGATACATATGAATTCAAAATGTTGATATTGGTCCAAAATCTTGAAGTTTAACTGTAGGTTGACCATAGTTGACTTTTTACCTAATACAACTGATTTTAGGTCATCTGATCAATTGGCTAAGCAATTTTATGATTCAAGACTTGAAACTTGACATGAGAAATCTTGAGGGACCATAATGATCCATGAAAATAATTTGAAGCATCAGAAGCCCAATTGTCCTTATGCAAACTGAAACCCTAATTTGAGGTATCAGTGTGGAGGAGATAGCTTAACCTAGTCAATACTTGTGCAAGCTTGAGCTTTTGAAGATCTTTGTGAGAAATGTCTTAAGAAAAGAGAGGGAAAATTTTTGGGTACAACACTGGGCGACAGAGGGGCAAGAGCAATGAACCATTTTCTAGTAGCTTCTGACTTGGGCTCTCTAGCAACTCGTTGGACGAGGAAGAATAAGCTCACCGGGAAAAGGTAGATATTTGTGGCCAGCTGTGTATGTGGCACAAGATGGGCCAAGGAAATAAAGTTGTCACCAGGCGATGGTGTCAGATCAGGTTTTGTTTATATTTCCTGTTCATTTCATTTTGTAAGGTTATGGTTTTGGGGGTGGTCTTTGTTCTCCCAACTTCATCAACCCTCATTTTTCCTTTGGTTTAGATTAAAAAACAACTATGAATCTTGCATACGGATGATCCGGGGTGGATTGTTCTTTGTTCGGCGCTGACAATCTGGGAGATTTGTGGTTCATTTATCTTCTTCTTTGTGTATTCTTCATTTGTTGGGTTTTGTATATGTATTTACTTTGATCTTATGTATATTTGTCGCCCATGGCATTATATTTAATTTTCTTTTCACATATTTGTCGATTGTTATCCTTGATTTTTGCTCTGTGCTAGGGATTTGAGTTGCTATAGTCATATACTACTCTAATTCTTATCTAGGATGATTCTCTAATAGTGTCTAGATTTTAGAGATAGATTTAGGGCTATTATTCACTTGGGTTTCTATGATTATTGCCTCTGTGTTAGTTGTGTCGTTTTGAGAGATCATCGACACGATTATCATGTTTTACTTTTATGTTGTTGAGGTTGGTTGAGAGATCGGTGTCGAGGTGATACAATGGGTGTTGTGTTTGACACATGATGACATTAATGAGTATCGTAGGTTGAGTATAATTGGTCGATAGGTTTAAGTCTGCGAGGAGTGGAATATATGGATGCTTGATAAGTTTCACCTCGGAAGAATGAATTTATTTTCCTGTTAATAACTTTTACCTTTCATACCTTTTACCCAAATTCAAACCCAAACTCATTAACGAGAGATTGTCGAACGAAAATTCAATACACTAATCTCAGTGGACACGATACGATATAACCTATATCACCCGGTAAATTAATAACTTACTTTTTGCTTTTCGCTATACCGCAACAACAACAGTCACCCAAGCATGGTTGAAAGCATCTCTGACATTTTTTAGTTAGTGGCAGTGTTCTAAAGTTTATAATACTGGGGCAAACTATTTATGGTGGTACAGATCTCAGGAATTCCTCTCAAGGCAAATTTCTTCAAAATACCTAAAGGCTAGGGCAAGGAAATATGCAGGGGCATCTCTTCCTCTTCAATGGTTAATCAGGTTAGGTTAAGGCGCATGCTAAACAACTTGTGGTTTTAAAGCGAATGTCGGGAAGTTAGGATCGCCATCCTCAATAGATATCAGAGATATAAGTCTAGTGTATTGGCGTTCATCAGCAGAAGTCGAGGCTTTCATTCCCTGTCAAATATTTTAGTCAATATTATTGAGTTCCCAACAGATATCTTTGCTTCGACACATTGTATATAGTAATCATCATTACATAGCATTGCATCACAAAAACGCGTAGCATTTCCACAAAGGTGGAGCATTATACTAAAAAAACTTAAAACATGCATAAGACAAATACAATCTCAAATAATAACACATCTCCAAAGAGAATATCATCTCCACAAGTCTCCAGTCACTTACCGATAACCCTACCGATGCGAGTAACCTTACTGATTGTTCATTTTCTAAACCATACAACTTTTGTATTCCAGTAACCTTACCGTTTCCAGTAACCTTACTGTTTGTTTTGTTTCCCAATCACCGGATTGAAGCCTTCCAGTAACCATACCGTTGTCAGTAACCTTACTGTTTACTAAATCATTCTTGTTGTTACCCAGTAACCCTACTGAGGTTCATAACCTGAAGATGTTTAGCTTTTCCAATCACTCGATTTTTGCTTCCCGATAACCTTACCATTGCTAGCAGCCTTGCTATCCTTGTTTTCCCGATCACCTGATCAAGGTCTTCCGATAAACCTACCATTGTCAGTAACCTTACTGTTTTCCATATTTCTCTTGTCATCTCCCGGTGAGCCCACAGTCGTTAGCAATCTTACTACCTCGTTTGTTTTCTGGTAACCCTACCGATGTCAGCAACCTTGATATTCTTTCTTGCCCAATCACCTGATTGAAGCCTTTCGGTTATCCTACCGATGTTGATAACCTTACCATTGTATTTTTTCCAAATACCTATCTTCCGGTAAGCTTACCAATGTCTATAACCTGAAACATTTTTCATTCCAATCACCTGGTTGATCCGTAGTTCAGTAACCATACTGAAGCCCAACATTTTCTCACTAGCAATTATTTTCCAAAACCTAGTCATTACCCAATAACCTTACTGATTGTTTAATATCATCCATAAAAAACACACAACAAAAACATTTTTAAGAAGAACTACGGTGTTCTGATTCCCTTGTGGATACATAGACATTGAGTTTCAATGCTCAGACGAATGCACTAATAAAAACCTTTTCTTTTTCCCAGTTAATTTATGCATACATTTCCCTTTAGCGAGTAAGTTTTAGATATACTCAACCATTGATTAAGATAACAAGAGTGGATCCCATGGAGTACCACGAACGTGAGGGGTGTTAATACCCTGTCGTTGCGTGATCGACTCCCTTATCCAAGATTTGGTTGCGAGACTATGTTCTTTTCCCGATACCAAAAGTTTTCTCTATATTTTCCTTTCCCTATTTCTTTGGGATAAATAAAGTTAGGTGGCGACTATATTTGTTCCATCCAAGGTTATTTCGTCTTATTTTTCGAGTAGCTTCATGATGGAAGACTAAAATACAATCTTATTGAGTTGAAGATCGATGAAGATTTGACGGTTATGTGGAGGCTAATTAAGGGAGGTGGTCGAGTTTGATGCAAAGATTTTAAGATTTGTTGACGACATAATTAAGATGTTTAAATGTACATAATCATTCATTAGTGTCTAGGTTTTTATGTTTTGTTATTGTTAATTTATGTTAGTTGTAACATCTTAAGTTGTGTTCATCTAGTAGTGTCTAGAATCATTCGTCAAAGCAGGAGCTATAACTTCTTTATCAGCAGTAGCCTCATCAATAATAGCAATCAGATCTGGGGTAGCCACCTCATCAACAATAAGGATATTTGTCTCGGCTACTTCATCAGCCATCTCATCAAAAATAGGGGTCGCATATGTATCGTCTACATCACCAGCAACAAGTTTCGCATCTATCTCAACCACCTCAGCCGAGTCAATAACAACCTGACCCTGCACCTTCTAAGTATGAACAACCTCAACATTTTCTCTGGGTTGCTCGTCTAATCTCATCGCTCGATGTCGGGTGCTACAGGGTGTGCAAAATTGCACCTGTTTAGCCAACTATTTTAAGTGAGAACCGTTTGGAACTACTCGTCCAACACGTAGCTCGGAAGACTCTGCCTCAACAGCGCTGCCGCTTCATGTGTGGTCCTGCCTGTAATAGTGTCGTCTTTTCCCCTGGTCTTCACTACAAATTAAAAAAAATGCAAAATTCAGTAAAATATCGTCAATTTTGAAATTTCCTACATATCACTTGAAACTCTGAAATTTCTGGTACGAATTTCAAAATTTAACTATCGGAAATTCTGAAAATCCAAGTAAAATTCCAACTTTCTGAACTCTTAGAAATTCTGAAATTTTTGATACCATGCTATGAATAAATACTGGGAATTTTGAAATTCTCGATAAAAATGCAAGCAAAAATACTAGAATTTTTTAATTCTTGGTAAAAATTTAAAAGATTGTACCAAATTATTTGAAATTTCTGATAAAAACTTTATTTTTCACAAGATTTTCGATAAAAGTGAAATTTTCGACATCACTCTAACAATTTTGTAATTTGTGCAGATTCTGAGTAGATTTTAAACAATAGTTAAAAAATTTACTAAAAAGTTAATATAATCGATTCATTAAATTTGTGGGGTGTTAGATTTAAATGGGGTGGCAGGTTAAATGTTGGGTTTCATTTCATATTCAATTGGACCAATGCTACACAAACCCAATTAATGATTAAAGAAAGTCTATTCGCTTCTAGTAGAATGTTAGTGTTAAGATTTAATATTATTAATAATAATAATAATAATAATATTAATAATAATAATAATAATATTAATAATAATAATAATAATATTAATAATAATAATAATATCCAAGATTTCGAGCTCTAGCTCCGGCGATTTCGATTTCGAGCGTCGAAGCAACCTAGATTTCGAGCCCCGGTGATGGGGAAAGGGAGAGGGAAGCCGGGGCGTCCGAGGAAGACGGTGCCACCGCCGCCAGCCTCTCCGGATCCATTGAAAACGAAATCAAACGAAAGTGATTCAAGTCAGCAAGGTGACCCCGCTACTGCCCAGTTGGTCGAACCTCAAGGGGAAGCTGTGAAGGTGAATCCCATACAGGTGATAGCTTACAAACTGAAGGACGCAAGTTATGGGTGGATGTTCTGAACGACAACAGGAACCCTGCGAGAGGGAGAGCTATGAAATTCATCGCGCCAACGATTGCTAATGGTACAATTGAAGCTATTATCAAGGAGGAGGATGTCATTTCGGAAGTGAAGTTTTGGGAGCCGTCTCTTGTTCTTTACTCCCTAGGGCTAGATTTGAGCATGAATGGGGTTAAGAACTTCATGTCTCGATACTGGAGCTTCGTCCAACTCCCTGATATGTACTACAATGATTATGGTTTTTTCATTCTTCGCTTCAAATCGTTTGCGGATAGAGATGAGGTCCTTATGCGAAGCCCCTATATGTTCAAGAATGTTCCCTTGCTAATTCGGGAATGGAGACCTGAGTTTAAGTTGAAGGATGACCTTTTGCACACGCTCCCACTCTGGATTAAATTGCCCCAATTGCCTCTCACCTTATGGGGGGATATAAGCCTTTACAAAATTGGTAGCTGTCTGGGAAATCTGATTGTCACAGATGAATGCACAACCAATAGATTACGAGTTTCGTATGCTAGAATACTAGTGGAAATGGACGTTACAAAGGACTTGCCTCAGTCCATATCTATTGTGGATGAAGGAGGCCTCAAGTTTCAGCAATCCATTGTGTATGAGTGGAAGCCTCAGTTATGTTGTAAGTGCCAAAAACTGGGGCATAATTGTGCTAAAATCCCTCCTAAGCAGCACTGGATACCAAAGCCTCCAGATGAAATGCAAGCCCCAACACTCCCTTCAACTTCAGTGGGACTGGGTCCAGCAGGGTCTCAGAGTGAGAATATGAGTCAAGTTTCAGGGAAGAAGGATCCAGATCGAAGAGGTACAGGTATGCAGGATTCGACTGAGGATGCGTGGAAGGAGGCCCCTCGAAGTGTGACTGTCAAAGGGAAGCATCATGGTTCTGCAGCATCAGCAGGTAACTTGGCTTGTGATAATGGTTTTGATGCCCTAGGAATTTTGAACGATCTCCTAGAGCTTCAAAATACTGGGCAATGATTATATCCTGGAATTTGAGGGGGTTAAATAAAATGGGGAAGCTAAGGGAGATTAGCTCCCATCTCCTTAATCTTCACCCTGTGATACCTATTCTAATTTAAACTCGTGTGAAATCTGCTAAAGCTAATAAAGTCAGAGAGCAGCTGAAGCTTAGAGGTAGATTCCTGGATAATTATCAGCATCATCCTAATGGAAGAATTTGGATCTATTGGGATGACAGTATGGTTGAGGTTCGAATGGTCAAATGTTCTGCACAGATGATCCACTGTGGTATCTATGATTTGAATGGAGTTTTTAAATATTGGATGACAACAATTTATGCTTTTAATCAGCTGGATGGTAGAAGAAGGTTATGGACTTACTTGGAGAGGGTTCATTCGAGCCAGCATGGAGCTTGGGGCCTTATGGGGGATTTCAACAATGTGGTCAAAGCCATGGACAGGATTGGGGGTAATTTGGTGACTGAAGCAGAAATCGTGGACCTCAGAGATGTAATGGAGAAAGTTGGCCTTTTGAGAAAGACAACCTTGGGGATTACTATACTTGGACCAACAAACACTCTGTGGGAACAATTTATTCTAGAATTGATCATGTTCTGGGAAACATGGAGTGGCTTATGGACAACATTGATGTGAACCTGACTATCTTTCCTTGCAGTGTATCTGATCATAACTTACTGTGCTTGAATGGTCGTATGCAGAGGGAGGTAAAGATTTCTCAGTTCAGATTTACTAACTGTGTAACTCACATGGAAGGATATCAGATGGTTGTTGGTGAGAGCTGGAAGAAACCAATGAAGGGCAGACCTATGGCCAAGCTTTGGTATAAGTTACTGCGTTTGCAGGGTCCTCTTAGTAGGCTGAGTAAGCAATTGTCTAATGTAAATAAAACTATAGCTAAAGCCAGAACTGATCTCAGATTGGCCCAGGAAGAACTGTGTCTGGACAGAATGAATTCTGAGATTATTGATAAAGTCAAAAGCTGTACTGATTCTGTTATATATTGGAATGAGATCAACGACCAAATGATGAGGCAAAGGACCAAAATTGATTGGCTTAGGAAAGGAGATAGCAATACTGAGTTTTTCTATGCTTCTCTGAAAGCTAAAAATGCTGCTACCTCCATCAAAGTTCTGCATAAGGATGATGGCTCTGTTCTCCAGAATTCTGATGCTATTGCTACTGAGATTTGTGATTTCTACAAGAGCCTCATGGGATCGCGTGATAGCAGATTGCAAATGATTGATATAACAGTTATGAGGGAAGGTCCCCAATTGTCGGGTAGGGAGAGGAACTGCCTCATTGCACCTGTAACTGTGACTGAAATCAAATGTGCTTTAAAAGGAATTGGAGATTTAAAAAGTCCAGGCATTGATGGGTATGGGGAGAAATTTTTCAAGTCCAGCTGGGAGATTATTGAACAGGACGTGATAGATGCTGTAAAGGAATTTTTCGAGCATACTGTGATCTACAGAGCTATGAATGAAACCATAGTTACCCTTATCCCCAAACATCCAGCTGCCAAGACCATTCGTGACTATCGTCCGATAGCAGGGTGTTCCACTTTCTATAAAATAATCTCCAAGATATTAACGGCTAGATTGGGCAAGGTGTTGGGCAGTGTTATCAATAAAGCGCAGGCTGCATTTGTGACAGGGCAGCATATTCAAAATCACATTTTATTGGCAACAGAATTGATTAAAGGGTATAACAGGTAGATGATCTCCCCTAGATGCATGATACAGCTTGATCTTCAGAAAGCGTATGATATGGTGGATTGGTGTGCACTGGAGAAAATCATGTGTGAACTTGGAATTCCAAGGAAGTTTGTGGACTGGGTTATGACAACCGTGACTACTGTTTCGTATCAGTTTAATCTTAATGGTATGCTTACGGACAAATTGGAGGCGAGACGGGGTATTCGTCAAGGGGATCCTTTATCTCCTCTTTTGTTTGTCATCACAATGGAATACTTGAATATATTGTTTCTCCATATGCAAAAGAATCCGGAATTCAATCATCATCCCAAGTGTGAGAGGTTGTCACTTACTAACTTGATTTTTGAAGATGATTTGTTGGTTTTTTCTAGGGGTGACGCTAAATCGATTGAGCTTGTGCAACAAACCTTACATATTTTCCTAGCTTCCACAGGTTTGAAGATGAATTCTGCCAAAAGTAACATTTACTTTGGTGGGATGATAGTTGATGCCAAAGAGCGAATTCCGCGTACGACTTCCTACCGAGAGGGGACTCTCCCGTTTCGTTATTTGGGAGTTCCTGTGACCAGTAAGAATCTCTCGGTGACCCATTATATGCCTCTTGTGGATAAAATGGTTTGCAGGATTACACATTGGAGCGCTAATTTGTTGAGCCATGCAAGCCGTTTACAACTCATCAAGAGTGTTTTACATGCTATTTCTTCTTACTGGATGCAATGTTTTTTATTCCCAAAAGCTGTGTTGCACAAAATCAATGCTATTTGCCGAACCTTTCTTTGGACAGGGTGTAGTATTATGAGTAAAAAGAGTCCTATTGCTTGGGATAAGATCTGTAAACCATCTACAAAAGGTGGGCTTAATGTTAAAGATATGACCTCCTGGAATAGAGTGCTCATTCTGAAGTTGCTTTGGAATATTTGTGCAAAGGCTGACAACTTATGGGTTCAATGGATTCATGCGTATTATCTGAAGAATGATGAGATCATGTGCAGAAATCCCAAATTGAACGATTCAGGTATTTTCAAATCCATTTTGCAACAACGTGCACTTGTGCAGGACCTTACTGGCCTGTGGGGGAGCATGCTGAATGAGGGTAAGTTCTACACTAACAAAGTATACAATGAGTTGATATCAGATAGGGATAAAGTCATATGGTGTAACCTCATCCTCTGTAACAAGGCACGACCCAGGTCCATTTTTACCCTATGGATGACTTGCCATGGGGGTTTAGCAACTAAGGCTAGGCTGTTCAAGTTTGGTATGATTTCAAACAACATATGTGCGTTTTGTGATCAGGAGGAATCTGTCAATTGCCTTTTTTTCGAGTGTATTAAGTTGAATAGAATTTGGCAAGCGGTGTTGCATTGGCTTCGGATTATACATGTTCCAGGTATTTGGTCTGAGGAAATGAGTTGGTTGCTTAGGCAGTTTCGTGGTAAGGGCTGGAAAGCTGATCTGGTGAGAATGGCTCTTGCTGAAACCATTCATGAATGT